ACTATTTTATAATAATATCATCATTACAGTTGCAAAAAGAAAAAAAAGAACCCGTGATTTGATTTAAAACTTCACTTGTTTTTCCATGTCAAAATTAATTAAAGCATTGATTTTGTGATATTAAATTTAAAAAATATTGAAACAAACAAAGAAGTGAGATCTTCACTCAACATCAGGTGAAGCATGCAAGTTCAACACCGTCTGCTGCGGGGTCAAGTGGATAAGATTTTCTGCTATTCAACTCAATATTCATGCTGTAACGGATGTGAGAAGATAAACAAAAACGTAAAAAAAGACACAAATGTCTTCACAAGACTAGATACCCTCATAGAAGCCAGATGTTCTCATAGGAGCCAAATGTCTTCACATAAACATATGTCCTCACAAGACCAGATGATCTTACAAGAGCCTGATGTCCTCACGGGATCCTATGCTCTCACAAGACCTGGTGCTCTCACAAGAGCTTGATGCCCTCACAAGGACCTGATGCCCCCTTCCATGAGCCTAATTCTCCACAGGGACATGAATCCCCACATAGACCCGATGCCCCACCTTGGGTCATACGCTCCACCTTGGGCCATGCGCTCGGGCCATGCGCTCGGGCCAGACGCCCCACAAGGGTCTGATGCCCCCACAGAGAGGTGACGCCCCTACATGGGCCTGATGCCTTCAACCCGCCAGACGCCATAATGAGCTAATTGTCCACTAAGCCAGATGCTCTACACAAGAGCATGATGCCCCTTAAAGAGGGCATGATGCCTTTAAGAAGGCAAAATTGATCACATGCATTTTTGGCTTCTACCTTTTTTATCTGCAAATTTGTCTTCTTGTTTTTCTCATGTTTAACCAAACCCCTTCCAAAAAAAAAAAATATATATCATGAAATTTGTAGGTACCAACCAATCTGCAATATAGAGTCATCACCTCTCATCTATTTTGTTTTTTTTATCATCTGAAATGTTTATTAAACTTGGTACGAAGCCGAAAGGATTATAAAACCGAAACCAGAGGCTAAGTCGGCAGACAAACTTGAATTCCCCAGATACAAAGCCCATACAAGGGACATCAAAGGAACCATGAAATTCAAACTAAACTACCAAGGCTAGCACTTCACCGCTAAGACTACAAAAATGAGAAATAACACAAGATCAGCCACAAACATTACCCAAAGGCAAAGAAATGGTGGATGGACAGAGACCAAACCAGACTACAAGAAACACAAGCCAAAAGGCACGAGTCCGACATGCTAAAAGTCCAAACGACACACCACCGCAGCTGAGCAGATAAGTCACCACCTCAAGCAGACAAAACATGAGCAAATTAAGAGGGACCAAAACAAAGGGATCAATCAAGAAGAAACATCATCCAAGCAACGAAAGCAACAGAGTTTGAAGGCGCGATAACATCCCAAATAGTCTAAACTGAGCCTCGAGACCGCTTCCCACTTCAAAAACCGTAAACAACAAAGCTTGAAGAGAAGACTCTTCACCAAAGAAAGCAACCAAAGTGACCGGATTACACGAGCATAAAAGATCAAGAGTTGAAGGATGCTAAGAGGAGGCGGGTTCTTGAGCGGAGAAGCTGCATCAGAGGACAAACCGACACCAATCATTCCACCAAAACCCAACTCGAAATACATTAAACGAAATTGCACATGAACCAGAACTAGAACTACTTTTTAACTAACCAAATTAAGAGGAACCACTTTATAAGCTTCTTTTATTTATTTAACCGATGAAATTAGGCATGTGATTCGATATAGATGAGAAACATTAATACTTTAAAAAATATTTATTTATTTTTAACAAAAAAAAAATCATATATAATAGATGAGAGATGGTTTTGGTGCTTCACCTCTCATCTATTATATATGAATATTTTTTTTATTTTTTGTTAAAAATAAATAAATATTTTCTAAAGTATTAATGTTTCTCATCTATATCGAATCACATGCCTAATTTCATCGGTTAAATAAGTAAAAGAGGCTTATAAGGTTATATGGGGTAAATTACATCTATAGGCACTTTGTAAACAATTTATTGGGAAAACAGCTTATTCATACACAAACTATCGGCCATGGTTACAGAACATACATGAACTCATATAATCCGGCTAAAACATACATTGACAAGTTAACAAGTGTTGACTCAGCTACCAGATTATCAAGTCATCAATAATCAGTTGACATGGCAGTTGAATCATCAACCACGTTATC